AAGTTTGACTTCTTCAGCTCTGCTAGAACCTGAAGTGGGTACACAAAGTTCAAATGGCCATTGCTTGATTGGATTTCACACTGATTAAACAAGTTGTTAAAATATTTCTGTGAAGGGAGACATTCCTGTGTTATGCTCTTCCTGTCTGACAACGATTTTATGTCAGGCAATGTCTGACAGGAAATATCAACTTTAATTATACTTTGAGGATGTTAAGTTGTATATGATATGTGATGACAAAGCATATTTGGCCAATATATTGAGTTTTGATAGAGTTACATTATCTACAGTTTAAAGCTCACATAAACATAAATGTGAAAAATGATAAAACTTACCATATATGGGTACACTGTAATATTGCCATTACATTTATCAACTCCACATCTCAAGGCATTGTGTAAGGCATGAGCGATGGCATGTACAGCAGAATAAACAGGAAAAGAATAAGATGGGTCCACAGCAAGGATTTCTTCTGCACTCAAGCTGCTGCAGTTGCAAACCTGATTACACAACATATCTTGTTCTGCATTTTCACAATAGCTCTGGCTTTTGGAAGAATAGATAAAATCACTGAAACCAGGTATTGTCACTACTGGCTGAGACACTCCAAGTACAGTCCCAATTTGCTTGATTCCTCTCTCTTTGGGGAGCTTCTTGTTTAAGGACCAGGTGTCCCCTGCTATCCACACCTTGTTGGTGACATTTAGCTTTATTGCTGATTCAATGAGAGCCTCAGCATTCAATTTTGGAGCAAAAACAATTATTACGTTTATCCCGTGTGCCTCTATATCTTTGAACATTAGGGACATATCTGTATTGTTGTTGATTCCTTTGGTGTATGCCAGACAAATCTCAGTGTCTTTAATCCTCTTTATGAACACATCCCGGCCATCTTCGCCAAAAGTGTTATCACTGTTAAGAAAAGCAACCCAGCGCCAGTTGAAGTGTTGCACAATGTTAACAATCACTTCAATGACGTCTTTATTGGAATGCACTGTTCGTAGGAAAGAGGGAAATCTTTCTTTTGCTTCAAGGGCGGAGAAAGCAGCTCCATAACTGACCTGATAAAGGGTTAATGGAGAAATTGTCATCATTTTCAGTAACAATAAATTCTCAAATATAACGTTTCAAGTTGTTTCAATATTTAAAAAGTTTTAAAATGTTAACACCTTATTTTAAATGATTGATTTTATAGGGGAATGTCAAAACACAGCAGTTGGCAAACTTACCATTGGAATGAGATCCATCATGAACAGTGGCGCTATAGTTACGGTGTCGGTGCTTGAAAAAGGGCCGACCAGGGCCATCACTTTAGACAGATTCTTGTGTGGGTCACCCCAAGGTTGAATCAAGCTGTCGACTGAGAGGAGTTTTAAAATGCCTGGAAAATTGTGTGTATCTGAACAGTGATCAAATATCTCATAGCCCAGAGATACATTAGGCAGGAGGATGGTGGAGTTATTGATTTCCTCTACAGAGAATCTCATCAACTGAAACCTCCGATAACTTGACAGAATGAAGGGTTGACTGTGGATAGAGAATGGACAACAGGAGAATAGGATTACCTTTCAGTTAAAATTATTAGTCTTCAGACCTCTGTTCAGATATGGAAACTATGAAAGGGGATTTCATGGAACAAGGACTGAGGTCAGATTTATTGTTACACAGCAACTTTGATAATTTAGCAATTTAGACAAAGTTGGGGGGGGGGGGTAAACATATCCATTGACGTAGCATTTTAGGTAAAGCTTTTCAATGTTACATTAAGAGTTTGTCATTAGTTTCAACTTGATCAGTTATTTACCCAGATTTATTATGAAACTCACCTGGAGCAGTCGATGGCTTCGGGTCTGTCATGATAAACGGTGACACTATGATGAATATCAAAAAGTCCACCTATCAGATATTCTCCGTCCAGCTGAAACTCTGAGGCTGGGGCAGTGCACTGAGCCAAGGCACGTAGAAAAGCTCCCAGAAGACACAAAGAAGCAAGAAAATGTTTCATTGTTGCTGTAATTATCTTTTAGCATTCTGACGTGAACTCAGTAGCCTCAGCCTTTTATCAAGCAATGCGATGCTCGTAACAGCAAACCCCCAGTGTTCATTTCCATGTACTTGGAAATGCATGATGTCATAAATATATACCTGTAAATGGTTGGAGGAGAATACACAAATCAGTATGCAAAAAGTGCACAGACTCGGCAATGACGACACAGAGTTCAACAATATTACGAACAGGTAAATTCATTACCTCGATCATGAATAGATCTGGTGCTACTTGAGCCTTCCTTTAGCCAAGATGACAAATGCACCATTTACAGTGCCACTAAAAGTTTGTGAACCCTTCAGAATTTTCTGTATTTCTGCATAAATGTGACCTAAAATGTGATCAGATCCAGACTCAAATCCTAAAACTAGATAAATAGGGCACAGTTAAACAAATAATACAAAAACAATTATACTTAATAATTGAGCTAAATTTTTGTTTAGTTTAGCGGTCCCTGCCCTATTGAAAGACTAAGACATGAAGGTCAAAGCAGTTAAGCTTGGCACCCAGTGGTGCTGAACAAAGTGTGATTTACCCAAGAGGATAGTAACATGGACAGAGTTGTGGCATCTCATTCTTCCTTCCATCAATATTACAAACTCTCCCTTCATTAGCACACTTGTACGCATGGGGGCTGTCATAGGATCCCAGTTGTAAACTCTGCAGCAGGACGGACACAGTAGTGCACATATTGACAGGTGTGAACCAGCTTTATCCCAAGGCCAATATAGATGGTACCACGACAACCTCTTGCTTGTTTTTGCTGAGACATTAAAGCGGGAGAGATGGATAAAGTGGCCAGAGAGCTTTAGCCTAACTAGACCAGTCGCCTTTGCTCAGAAGGGAACCAAGCCAGGTATGTCCCACAGATCTGAACCCACTTTACAGCAAATGGCTAGATCAAATGAGATGAGGTTAAAAGAAGTTATATAAGACATTCCGAACATGAATATAGCAGCAAACAAATATTTGTGCAATGTAAAGATAT